ACAACAATTTAAAATATTCAAATAGAATAATCTGTCTATTGTCCAAAAAATTCTTGTAACATTTATTATAAAATGGTCTATTTTTTGCTATAAAATATTAAAAATATATATAACCTTCCGTATAGGTTTATATATGACCAAATATATATATATATATATATATTTATTCAAGAAGCCCGTGTCTCAAGGAACAAAATAACATATTGGCAGATGAAATTTGACGGAAATTTTTTGATATCTGTGTTGAAAATATTTTTAAAAAAACTGTTGTGTTCCCCTCACATGCCTATAAACGCAGAAAGGTAACTGATTAGTTCATACTGGAAAGTTTATAATCCATATTTTTGATATTAAATATATCTATTTTTTATGGATGCATATTAAGAACTATTATTTATTTATTTATATTCCAAAATACGTATATATAAAAATCTCTGTATAAATATATATATATATATATAAATATAATTAACTATAATTATATTTATATATATATATATATAGTTATATATATAAATATATATATATATATTCTTTATATTTATAATATATACATGTATACTGAACTTTGCGTCAAGCGTGCCTGATGATTGCATCTAGCATTATTACTGTCACTTCTGAAGACAGACTTCAGTGTTCACTTTATATTATATTTACATATGCCCTATCTCTGATATTGGAGCACTTTATCCCAAATAAATAGAAAACTTTAACTTATTTCTTTATATATATAGATATATATATATTCTTTTTATATTGATACTGAGTACATACATACATATATATTTAATTTACATGCATACATATATAATATATATTATATTTGTATATATTCAGCTTAAATATTTATACATATATATACATTTTATTTATACATATATATATATAAATTCTTTATATTTATACATATATATAAATTCTTTATGTTTTATACATATATTCTTTATATATATATATAATTTTTTATTTATACATATATATGTTTCTTTATATATATATATATATATATATATATTTTATATATATTCTTTATATTTAGACATATATATATATATATTGTGTTTGTATATTCTTATATTTTGACATATATATATTCTTTATATTATACATATATATATTCTTTATATATATACACATAATATATATATATATATATATATATACACACACATACAACGTAATATATATATATATATACATATACATTTCTATATATACCAATATATAATATATACACACACACATACAACGAATATGGTATATATACACACACATAGTGACGCAAAATATATCCATATCCATTTTTACATACAACTAATATTAGTCCCAAATATATATATGTTGGACTATCATATATATATATAAACTAAACAGGATATTATATATATATATATAGAAAAATAATATATATATAATATATATATATTTGCATATATCCATTTAAATGGATATAAATACATGAATATATTTAAATCTAACGTACTGTAGGAAATATATATAATACATTAAAACACTGCATTACTGTTTAATATATATATATAGTAATTACTTGCGGAAACACAACGTTAAATATACCATATATATTGATATATATATAACACACACACATCAACCCATATATATTTATATATATAAACACAAATAAATCCTGTTCTATATATTTTACATATAATATAAATATATATATAACAAGCACAACATGTATATATATATATATATATATATATATATATATATATATATATATATATATATATTTATTAATAATTTCCCAAATCATTTATTATTAAACATGTAGTTGTTCTATTAGAAATTTATTTCAAAGTTAATAGAATTCTTCAAATATCTGAACCCAATGCATTCTAATTATAAACAGTATGAAAATATTCTCATAAATAATATTTAATACATACTACCATTACCACTACAGGACAAAGTAAAAAATAAAAAAATTAAATTAATAGATATACTATACTAAATCTACTATATATATATATATATATATATATATATCAATCATTCGTAACGGCACTTTAACAGGTTGCAGAAAACCAACATTGTATATAAATGTAAATTTCCTCTAGTATATTTTATTTCCAACGAAAAAATAATATTTATGTTGGCCTCACTACGACTATGTTGCCTCGGTGGTTGAGTTTTCATGTGAATGATGGTATAGCATTTCTAAAAATTTAGAACAGTATACCTATCCTCATTCCCAATTCAGAAGAATTCTTGTTGACAATACAATTGTGCTTTTCATAAAAAGGAACATAAAGGAAAAATTCTCGAAGCTATGTATATATAAGAAAAAAAAAAAATTTAAAACAAACCGCAATAAAATTATGAATACTGCACTAATGCTGTAAAATGTTAGCAGTAGATAAGTTAGAATATCGAGGTTTGTAATAATAGTTCAACCCCACGATACTTAGTTATCTCCCCTGAAACGTTAGTCAAGCCAGTCGCAGTATTCACTCAGCGTTTTTCACAAGTAAAAATTTTAATTTCATATGAAGACAGTAATTGTGACTTTAAAAATGATGAACACTACAATATTTGTCTCGAAATAAATACCCTGATGATGACCATGTGCTATGTTGAAAGTACTCGGAAAAAATGTTATGTATCAACACGGTAATTTTCTCTTCCTTTAATAATGGCAACAAAAGGCTTGTCCGTGAATATATATATATATATATATATATATATATATATATATATAAAATATAAACAAAACACCTCATGCGACTTTTTAAAGACCTAATTGTGAAGCTAATTTTAAGGGGGGTTTATCATACACAATATATAAAATTAACTTATGTACTGTTGGCTAAAATACAGAACTTTCTAGCTAATTTATTTCCAGAAAATAAAAAAAAATAAGAAAAATTAAATAAAACAAAAACTTAACCACTTTTCTACCTTGTCCAGTCGTTATTAACGAAAACATAGTATATATATATATATATATATATATATTATATATATATATATATATATATATATATATATAAACAATTATCGTTCTACACACTTCAGAGCTCAACCGAGGGGAACAATGATTAAGAAAACTAAAAAAGATGAAAGTCGAGATAAGCTGTATACCCTGTAAGTAGTACGACGAATGACTTGAAAATGTAAGTTTTTAAAACCATAATAATTTTGTCTGTCCTCCCTCCAGAATATTTAAACTGATATCATGTAAGTTTTTTCTGGAGAGTGTAAAAACTGTAAATGTGATATGGATCCAAGAGCTTTCGACTAATCTATTAGCCATAATCAAGGACGTTTTTTTTTTAGTTAAATATGTATGTTTTTATATACGTTTCGGGATGGGAATTATTAATGGTTCCATTATTTTTAACCGCAAGTTTCGGACAGAGGCTGGTATTTTAAACACACACGGAAACCTACCAACTTCTGTCCGCAACATGCTCGTAGAAATACAACCATAATAGCCTCAACTACATGCAATTAAAAAAAAAAAAAAAAAAAAAAAAACGTTTGAATTTGGGCAGTTCTAACTCTATATCCAGAAAAAATTGCATAAATGCAAGAAAATATTAATAAAAAAAGCTTAATCACAGTGTCTTTGTCAGTAGTCTTCAATGAAACCTGTATAAAATAAAGATTGCTGCCCAAATACACAATTATATGCAATACTTTTGCCAACATTTCAAGCGCACTATTCTCATTGGCGTATAAATTCGGAGAACATGAATAACTTCGTATAAAGTCCGCCCTTATATCCTATATATCGCGATCTCAAATCATCAGGAATCTCGTAATATTAGGATTGTTGAGGCACCCCGTGTACTGAAATTGTAGTAAAACTAAAAGTGATGCGTCTTAGGTAAGATAGACGGACGGAACCCAACCATAACCGGTCTGGTTTGATTTCAGAGTTTTCCTCCTTCTAGACTATTCGCCAACCAAAGTTATAGAACTTAACCTATCCTGCTGTTTACCCATAGATGGGGTTGGTCCTATAAGTGAATGCAATGAACTCGACTAGAATTCGAACTCGGCTCTCCGATTCCTCAGTCCGAGCTGATCTCCATTACTCCACTGCACCTCAAATCATGAAACCTTAAAATTAAGTTAAAATTTAAATTAAGATACGTTTAAATAAATTTGACGTAACTTTCAGTGGCCTAATAGCAAAGACGTTACCCCATGACTGTCTAAGTGCCTGTCTTTTTGTGCAGAAATTGATTGTCGAAAGCTGCTTTTGGTTCTTGCAGTTTGCTTGGCTAAAAATATTGGTTAAAGCGGTTGGGATAGAAAACAACAAAATATGAGGAAACAAAACTTTTACTCACAGGACAGATTGAAGGCAAAAGGATAACAAAGCATAACCTACCTAGCGACGTAGAGTAAATGGATGGCGGAACATGGTTTAAGAGAGATAAAAAAATTTATTAAGAACTACAAAGGACAGCAAATTGTGGAGAGCTATGATTATCAACGTCCTGAAGAGACATGCGCATGGAAAAGAATTTTGGAATCTTTTCTATTAATTCACACCAATATTAATTCACCTCAAAAAAAAAAAAAAAAAAAAAAAAATTTTAAATCAAACTTTATTAGGTTTACATCGCAACAACTCCAACTCTCAGAATGAAAAAATTACCATAAGTCATGGAGTTATTCACATTTCGTGTGGGTGATATTGCGAGTAGCAAGTTCGAATGTAGACCCCCCACACACACACCAACATTTAGAAATAGCGCACCCAAATTTCCCACATTTTGGACAATCGCAAAGGTCAACCCAATCGGAGTGCAATGGAAGGGCCTCGCTATGGGAGAATTTGGTGTGAATTTCAGTAAATATAAATTCTGTTTATTTTGGGGTGAATTAATATTTTGGGGTCAGTTAACAGAAAGATCCTAATTTTAAGAAACAAGGTCATTCAAGTTTCATTTTTCAAATAATACAGTAAAAATAAAATAAAATAAATAAATAAATAAATATAGAAAAAACAAAACACTTACTTGAGATGGAACAGAAACGGGCGGTTCAATTCTAATTTTAGGGTCCCATTCTCCTGGGGGCAAGACAGTTCCTTGAGCCATAAATTCTTCTATCCCAGCAATAAGGTCGGTCTTGTTGCGACATTTATACGCCACTTCTCCAAATATCTTTAAAAAAATCGATAAGCGGAATTTTTCAGACGGTAGCATCCAAATTAACATTGAAAAATAACAGGATACACTTTATGTTCAGCCAGCGTTTCTCAACCTTTTTATCCTTGTGCCGCCCTTGAAATAGTTTTCAGGTAACACCTACATAAAAATTATATACCATTATTAATATCTAGCTCTTATATTTTTATCGTACTTCACGTGGTAAACATGGACAGCGCGCATGCGTCCTGTACTCTAGTGAGTCAAGCTTACGGCCATATCACGTTAAAATACCGGTTTCCGTATAATCACCGAATTTAAGCAACATCGAGCCTGGTGGGTGACCACTTGGGATTATCATGTAAGCTGGGATGTATGGGTGGTGTAATGGATAATGATTAGGAAATATTAATCGGGGGTCCGATTTTCAATTCCAGTTGAGTTCGTTATATTCACTTACGTGCAAATACCTACCCTTGAGATAGGCAAGAATCCATATCTTTTAAAAGTTATTGGATAATTACTAAGACATGTATCAGTAAATCGTTATTTCAGAATAAAAAAAAGTTCTGAAGTCTAAAAATATTTTCTGGCTTTAAATAACCTGCAAAGGGTTGAGAAGCCGTAGAAAACGAATCAATCAAGTAGATCACTCAGTGATCGACAAATGGGCCACCTAGAAGTCCTGTCCACTAAGCAGTGAAGGCGGTTTCACGCTGAGGTCATATAGACATTGCCAAAGGCATTCCCCGTGATTATTATAATTTTAAATAATGTAAGATGTTAAAGCCTTTATTATAAATAAGCAAGGATTTCTTTTCTAACTACGTGTATAGTAAAATTACGAATATAAATTGAAACAAAAATGACTCAAAAAAAGGTATTAACTATTTATCACTTTCTCGTGGAACCTCTGACCTCTTGCGGAATTACTAGGGAACACCGGTTGCGAAACAATGGCTTAATCCATCAAATAATTAAGTGATAATTAGCATTGAATTTTCTAGAATTATAGACTTAAGTAAATTCTGTGATAAAGAAAAAGAGACAAACCATTTCAAAATATTTGGTAACCGTGGAAAGCAAAACGTCAACAACCATGACGTCTCGTCTAAAAATCAACCAATCAATAAAAATAAATACTTACTTCATCAATCATCATCGTCGATATACTTCGACCAATCTCTTGAATTTCATTTCGATAGCCACTCGGCGAAAGGAGAATGAATAAGAATTTTGTTGGCAACGAAACTTCTGTGAGTTGACCAATCATACCAGATTTCTGAAGACGGACAAATGCCATGTAGAAATTGGTAAGGGAATCTATTGTGCCGACCATCATACTGGCTGCTTCGGAATCCTTGGGAATTTTTCTCATGAAATGCATATTTCCCTGGAAAATTATAACTTCGTAATGGGTGCAATTTCACAGACTAGACAAGAACATTTAAAATTTCTAAAATAAAAATTTCGAATGTTTCAAACTTTTATTTTTAGAGTGTCCTTTAATTATATTTTCGGAGCGAACAATACAATTCTTGTGTTGCTCATTATAGATTTAAAAGACGCAATAGGAGACTATCATCAAAATATATCAGAAATTAAGTATTTTATGATTTGATGAAAAAAAAAAATTGCAATAAAAAAATTTAGTAATTATTGGTAAACATTTTTTAAATATGTAAAAAATTTAAGAGTAATTTCGCACACGAGATTTAAAAAAAAAAAAAAAAAAAAGTCATCTTAACTTTAGTATCCGTCTATTTGACACTTACTTTCGAATGCGAGTTTAAATCGCCAATTTCACCGTTAGTTACTCCGCTGTCTATGCTACTGCAGCTGCTAGACGTTTTCAAGTTCCCTGTGCTCTTAGCAGTTCTCAAGTGTGCATGATCTGGGACGAAAGAAAACGTTGTTTCCTTAATATTTGCACAAATTTCAAACTAATTCCAGTAAAAAAAAAAAAAAAAAAAAAAAAAAAAAACTAACCTAATACAAATATATTGCATTAAATGTACTAAGCCTGAATTACTGGGATGTGGAGATATCGTTATTTATATGCGAACTATTGTCTTCATCTTCGTTATCACAACGTTTTAGCCATTGTGCCCCCCACCCCCATCGGCCTTCTAGCAATTGCTTGTCGATCCGGGTCACCTTCAGGGCATTTCGAACTATACACTTTATTTAATTTACAGGGGTAGGTTATTCCCGTTCTGTTGTCCAGGTCTTCGAATATCCAGTCTTGGTCTTATTTAGTACTTCTCGAATATTGCTCGCCTTGTTTCCATAGAGTCCGACCCAGGGATTGAACTCAGAATTATTACGTTAGCAAATTCACAAACCAACGCATGAATCTACTATGCTGCTGCTCCGAAGTCTAGCTTGAATTTTTATTTGTAATAACAGCACATCACGGGCCATTTCGCGCTGAATCGGGTAGTTTTAAATATGTGTTTTTATTTTGTGTTTATTTTCTGTTCATTGTTATATTAGAGTGGGAATGTAATTCGGTTTTAGTTGCATTTTATAGCCGGGTGTTTATTCGGTTTCCTTTTTATATTTTGGAATGGTTTTAGGTTCGACGCTCAAAGAGAGCTCAAAAGTTGGCCTGTATAATATTAGTTCTGACTAAGAAATCATTTGAGAAAGGAAGATTATAATTAAAAAAATGTTTACCATCATTAGGCTCAGTGGGGAAACTTCTATGAAACCAATGAAGCTTAAGCTTTCCCTAATCCAAGATGGACCACATTAGCAACTTTTTTTTATGAGTTATTTTTATTTTATTTTTTCTAAATGATTTAATTTTTTAAAAGGTGTTTGTTATTAAAATAAAGCCATTGAGTTGAAGTAGCTAATGTTGACCTTAGAATATGATCTAATACATATTTCAAATGGCCTCAAAATTCCCCTGTAATTGGTCAAATTTTCCTTGATGGGGAGCATGCAGCGCCAGAACTCCCAGTTATATAGGCTCGTTGAGCTCGCTAGAGTTTATCCATAAGGTACATCTTGGCAATTGGATCCTCGAAACTATTGTAGCCTATTGTGAGGGGTCCGCAATATCTGTTCAATCTTCAGGGGCCCAAAAATGTACGTCCGTCACTGATTAGTCTATAGACTTAAACTGAGGCAAATCAATTTTTAAAAACTAAACTAGCCAAGAATTTTTTTTTAAATTTGTTTCTAAACTTCCAATATTTATTTTTTAAACATAAATAAAACTAACTGTAAAAGTAAAATCTTACTTTTTCTGTTTTTATTTTAATACGATAGAATAAAGTTATTTTAATCGTATAATATTACAAAATCATCTTTTGTGGGAAAAACGTTTCAAAGCTACCAATATCAGAGCCATTTGAAATAACACTGCAAATCAGTGTGATTTCTAATCTTCAACATGGCTGTTCGTTTTTAGAGCATGTCCATCTATATTTCTTTAATAGCCACAGAGCCAAATTGTGACTTATACTGTGATTATACTGAACAGACCTTACTTATTAATTCAAGTATGTTCCCCGCCAGAGGAATACGGTTTTGAATTCAGAGCTGTCCTATACCGATTAACATGGCTAGAGAGTATCGTCTTCCCTGCTATTTAACCCATAGCTAAGAGGGGAAATGGATTTTCCCAAGGATATTTGTGTGGAAATGAATTTAACTATTTCGACCGGATTTCGAATTGATATCTCGTTCAGAGTCTAACGATTACACTACGTACATACCTGCATGTTTACAGTAATTACTGGAGATATATATATATATATATATATATATATATATATATATATATACACAAGATCCGTAAGTGGAAAGGATAATCCAAATGTTTTTTTTTTTTTTTAATATAAATATTAAAAAGATAGATCCGAAGAGAGCACAATATATACAAAGCAATATGATATACATCAAAGAAACTTAACACATCACAAAAATACTGTAACAGATCTTCGGTCTCATGAGACTGGTCGAAATAAATCATGATTTATTGCTGTATTTTCGTGATGTGTTACGCTTTTCCTTGATGTGTTATATATATATATATATATATATATACACACACACACACACACGAGAGAGAGATGGCCTACAGCGAGATAGACAAGACGAGCCAGTTACAGAATATTTAATAGATTTAAAAATTCCCGTGACAATAGCAGCCATTATATAACAGATTTCTTTCATACGCTTTAATTTCTAATTAAAACGAAAACTTTGAAAAATTTAACGACTGAACAGGAAAGTAGAGATTGAAAACATTTTCTTGTAGACGTTTTAACCACATCACTGCATCTATGATCCTGTTATTGGTTAATAATTGAAATAATCTGATCATATGAAAATTACTTACTCTGATCAACAAGGCTTTTGCTAGATCTCAGTTTTTCTTGATTTGCTCTGTACTTTCTTTTGGCATTCAGATGTTTGTGACGCTTAAGTAAAACCTTACGCACCAATTCTTGTTCTTCCGGATCAGACATGCCACAGTTTTCCCGCCAAGCTCTTATCACTCGATCTAAAATTAAAGTAATTAAAAGAATGACGAATAAAGAATAAAGAAAAAGAAAATGAGTTTTTATTTAAAAAAAAAAAAAAGTTTTTTGGGGAGGTGAGGAGAATTCAACGTTTCTTTGTCATTCAAGTGTTTGTGCCGCGTAAGCAATTTCAAAGTGTTTTGATCCAAGAAAGAAATAAAATTATTCTAGTGTTGTTAACATAAACTAACGACATCTCATTCAAGTTGTAATAATGAACTATAATTTTTGAAAGTGAAAAATTTCACTGATGTATATTGGAAAATATCCAAATTTTCATCTGAAATCAAGAAAATATTAACTAAAATGGTTTCAATATATGGAAAAAAAAGCAAGCTGGCAGACAGTTTCCTAAGACCTTAACATTTGAAAACCGTTACTAAGTTTCTTTTTCAGTACAGAAGTTATGAGTTTATAAAGTGAAACCATTTCTATTTTTAATATGAACTTTATAATATGAACTACTGTTGCAAAGAAATGTTTGTCAAGTGTAGTTAACACATCATCCAGAAGACGTTTTCGCTTGTTACCTGATAAGCGCCAGACAACGTCAATTACGTAAACTCCCCGGTTTTAAATACGCACTTAGTCGTCATTTTGTTCTCACACTGCTGTGATCAATATACACTTGGGACTCAACATTGTTCTTTGCTTTGCCTAGACGTCAGCAGTTGGGAGTGGAAAATCGACACCTTGGGACTGAAGGTACTGAATATAAAATGATTTGATAGTTTGGTTTATTTTGTTTTACGGTATATCAAGCTCAGTGGTTTATATAATTCTTTTAAGGTTTTTAGGATAGGTTCGTATGAATAGAATATGTATTAATATTTTTTAAATGTATTGCTGGTATTTTTACTATAAAAATGTATATTTATACTTCCATAGTGTTTTGAAACCAATTTGCCCATAGATCGGCCCCTAACAAATGCTACCAGCCTGGGTCTGGGTAGACATGGGAAGAACAGCAATTAAGAGGTAGTAAAACGAACTGAGTTTCTGCGATAAGAGCATCAAAGTCTTCACACACATACATAGATACATATACACACAGACATATGTATGTGTGTGTGTTGATGTTGCCATTATGGTCGTAGTAGGGGGACTTTGGGTGTGCATGCAAGTAATAATTTTCCCCGGATCCCAACCCCTATCTACGAGCTATCAAAATTCCTTAATTACATCCGCGTCCAGGGTAAGACGATAAACTACGTCCGACATCAAAGCCCCTGATCAGGAGGCTTTGAGGAGCGTGGAACCACCTCTTAATTGATGGTGTTCCCAGGTCCACCCCGACCCGGGGTGGTAGCACCTGTTAGGGTCCCAGCTATGGGCAAATAGTTAAACCCGAAACAGAGGTAAAAAGCAGTATGAAAGTGTAAAAATAATTTTTGATACCAGAAATACTTTGTAAAAAATTATATTACCAGCAATAAATTTTTGAAGGAAAAAAAACTATTACCAGCAATACGTTTTTTAAATAATATTACCAGTCATACAATTTTGAGGAAAAAAATTACCAGAAATAGATTTTTGACAAAACAAAAATTTTACCAATAAAAAAAAAATAAATATCACCAGGAAAAAAAAGTTGTCGGCATTAAATAACCCATTGATGTTGATATGCTGTAAAACAAACCAAACCTTAACTCCGTGTACACAAATAATTCCATTCCATCTCCATGCACTAAACCAAATATCCTAAAAATATTATTTGCATACACAACCAGTCTCCTACTACCATAATGACAACACCTGCACCCAAACTAATGGTGTTAGTATGGGAAATCCAAAAAATAAATCCGCTACGTAGAAGATAGATTTAATTTAACGAACAAACAAGACTAATAATCAAAAAACTACATTTAGAAAAAAAAAAAAGTCTTCAACTTTACATATGAATTGTTTATTATTGAAAAATATACAATAATTGTGCCACATTGACGAAGGGGAAGAAGCTGGTCTTCGCTAACTATCCTAGTCAATCACGCTCACGACCCATTCATCCAATACAATTGATCTATTTACAAGAACTCATTCATCACCATTCAATCCTACATATACCACAATACCACATATTCAGGGGGGGGGGGCTACAAAAACACCCCAAGGGTATAAAAATTTCAAAATTCCTAAATACAAAAACACAAAAATTTCAAGAAACATGAAATGAGGTGAAGGGAACACACACACACACACACACACAGATACATACACACACACATACATACAGATATATACACACACACACACATACATACAGATATATACACACACACACACACAGATACAGATATACACACACACACAGATACACAGATACACATACACAGATACACACACACACACAGATACACACACACACACAGATACACACACACACACACAGACACACACACACACACAGATACACACACACACACACAGATACACACACACACACACACACACACACACACACAGATACACACACACACACACAGATACACACACACACAGATACACACACACACACACAGATACACACACAGATACACACACACACACACAGATACACACACACACACACAGATACACAGATATACACACAGATACACAGATATACACACAATATACACACACAGATATACACACAGATATACACAGATATACACACAGATATACACACAGATACACACACAGATATACACACAGATACACACACAGATACACACACAGATACACACACAGATACACACACACAGATACACACACAGATATACACACACACACACACACACAGATATATACACACACACACACATACAGATATATACACACACACACACACACACAAGCTTAAAAGCCGTCCTATCGAGCAGCAACTAAGCTAGCTCCTGTGGAAGGCTCTTGAAAACAAGAGCACTAATACAAAATTTCAGGATTGCGAGTCCGGCTCCTGCTCGGAATGTTATTAATTTGCTCACAGAATCGACCCGATTTCAAAATGGTATGATATGTTGGGCTACGGCCTTTGGGGGTTGGAAAAGTGTGACAGACACTTACATTCGCACATATATAAAATACTTTTTCGTTTTTAAGTATAATGTCCCTTCAGTGCCAAGAACATGACTATCTACAGCTTATGTTTTTCTGTAATATTCGTAAACGACGTGGCCATGACTGCTCTTGCGTATCCAGTTGTCTTCTCCACCAATTTGAAATTCTGACTATCCTTACTCGCCCCAAACTGGCTACTATTCCAATCTAGACAGTTTTGTTTGCATTGCTATTTTCTCAATAGTTGGAAGAGGTTACACACACAAAATCTAATTTAACTTTTTTTCTATATCCTTACCAAAGAATAAAAAAAGTGTCATAACTCTAAACAAAAGTTATTTCAATAAAATTACATGAATCGAGACGGAAATAATTCTGAACTCCGTCTAAGCATTGGAAACAAAGGACTTGGCTGCTTTGGTAAGATGGTTCGAATATGACGTATAAATTACAGACTTCGTTCATACTTATGCAGATTTACAAGATCAAAACGGGAATAATATCAGAAAAAGAGTTTATATAATAAAAAGAGAGAAATCGCAAACATTTTTGGTTGTAATGTGGATTTTTTTTTAAAAATATATTATATGATGCTTTATTTTCCATAGTTTTGCTACACGAGTTTCCGGTCTCGCGACCTTCATCAGGTAAAGAGTGAATATTTCCACATATTAAAAAGGAATTCATTTTTCGATGTTAAATATTCTCGATATTAGACACTCTTGTGTGCTAGTGACCCAAATGTCTTTCTTGAACTGGCAGTGAAAGACTTCTGCGTGAAGGATAAAACAATTAAGACTGGTCCGAGAAAGGGTGAAGATATCTATATTCTTATCTTTTAATGACCCCTGTGTGTTCTTAGATCTATTTCCATTTCTGTATTTTATATATATATATATATATATATATATATATATATATATATATATATATTAGTATGGATGCATCCGTCAGTCTCGATAGACCATTTATCTGAGTACAAAAAGTTATGCAACAGCTGCTGATCGCAGCGCAGCATCCGTTATAGCTGAACAGGCCCACCCGGGAGTGACAGTCGATTGCAATGAATGCATGTGAAGACGCTCTCCCCCGAAGTTGACGTATAGTTTGCTTTCCTTTCAGCACGCTTCTCCCCGGGAGCAAGCATCCGTTTCTTCTCTCCCCGCTCTGTAAATCGCGGCCCCAGCGTGAGCGATCGTTGGCGACGTCTTCACATGTCTGGATGTCTTTGTCCATCGCCCTCATGTCAATTCTTGCAGACATCCTTGAAGCGAAGATCAGGTTGCCATCTTGCTGGTGGCAAGCTCCCCATACAGAAAGATCTTCGGAATCATCCCATGAGTAAGGTCGGCGGTTGCCCATGCAGCACGTCTCTCCCCGCTACCAATGTTGACCAAGAGAAAAGCAGAGGCCAATACAGATTTGTCACCCGCGTCGTCCCAGGAGTTGGCAGAACGTTATTGAACATAATATCGGACTGTCTTCAGGGTTTACTCACGAACCCTTTCCCATGATCGGGTATGGCCGCAAAGCAGCGGAGATTTAAAATCAGAGTTTTCCTTCTTAGATGAACAACCCTCCCGGGTTTACGAGTTCCATCTACCACAAGTGCATATATATATATATATATATATATATATATATACACTGCAATGGATATCGGAGTAACAGTTTCAGTTTGTTACTACTTTAAGAATTATTTTAAATGATAAAAGAATAAAAGTATTAAACAAAACAAAATAAACGTTACGACGCTCATGTCGGAGTGAATGAATGTATTTTTTCATTGCTCAAAGCTATATCGTATTTAAATAAGGAAGTCTTGATTATATTAATTTTCCATTTATTCCTATATCATAATTTTTATTATATTATTGTGCATTTCTAATCTTTAATTATCAAAATACAATTAAAATACAAATCAAGATATAACATTGATTGCGTTATTTAGCAAGTTTAATTTCTTAAGAATGTCTCGCTAAAAATTAAGAACATTTAATACATTGTATTAAATAACTTCTACATTGCCAAGAATAATTCTACTCTATATTTAAATTTAAGCATAAAATTTCTTTTTATGAAAGGACGAAATTTTCGAAATTATAGGAAAAGCATATCGAATATTAATGTTTTTGTTTATCTCTGATTGTGGGTTGAGTATCGACGATTTCTATCATTCAAAAGTTAACATTTGCCTATATTTTTTTTTTTTTATACTTTTATTTATTGTAACGTAATATTTTTATGGACGAAGAAATATATAATGGAGAGAACACTTACCTATTATGGAAGGCATGTCATTGGCGGGAATATCCAGAAGAACTGCTCCTTCGTAAACACATTTCTTCAATGCAAACAAGGCATGCATGGATAAGGAAGCGACGTGAGGTTTTGACCATCTTTCACCGCCATCTTCAACATCTTCCTCATACTTTACCCATCTGAAAAAGACAGCTACATTGTAGAACTTTCGAACAAGGCAAGCAGAGAGTGCGTGTATGGTTTGCTTTACGAGATATCAACCTTAATGGGTTATTTAATGCCGACAAGATTTTTATTGCTGGTAATATTTTTTTTTCCAAAAATGTATTGCTGGTAATAAAACGTTTTGACCCCAATTTGGGATTTAACTATTTTCCCATAGCTGGGACCCTAACAGGTGCTACCACCCCGAGTCGGGGTGGACCGGGAAACACCAGCAATTAAGAGGTGGTTCCACGCTTCTCAAAACCTCCTGATCAGTGGCCTTGCTGTTGGATGTAGTTTATCGTCATACCCAGGATATATATATATAGATAGAGAGAGTGAACAAGTCAAGAATTAAGAAAAAGCATTGGATTTTTGTCTAAATAATTCACTTAAATAAAAAGCTAGATAAATTCACATTTCTAACACTGGATCTGTATTTGCTGTTGGATTAATTTTTGTCAAAACAAAGTAAATTTCCCATTTGTTCCAATCTCAAGCACAATGTTCAACATCCGTTACAACTTACGAAATACATGCAGAATTTATATCTCTGCATCTGTAACTTTTTTAAATCCTACATAAGACACTGTTTTAAGATTCAATATTAATGAAAAACAAGTTATTTTGTATCTGTCTATATTTTTGAGAACATCATCTCAGAAATATAGACAGATACTGAAGGATCGGTACGGACCCGATATACCAAGAATATGGGGACAAATTGAAAAACCCTACCAGAAACTGGAACGAATATCGAAAAAGGGTTAAGTTCGACATTTCAAACACCTGAAGAAGGCCGGAGCGTACAACGGCCGAAACGCTGTAATAAATATGGCGACAAAGTCCGAATAATGTAAGTAATTTTGTTAATTTCATTTAGAGTATTAATGTTAAATAGATTTTGATGTTTTTATTTTATGAATAGATTGTCTCGGAAACAAAACTGGGTTCTGTAAATGGTCGAGAATCTCGGATTGGAATATTCTAAGCTTCAACTCAAAAAGAGGAGCCAAATAATAAACTCAGAAAATTTCCTCGTTCGAACTATGGTCTCTTGTAACTGTTCATTTATTAAGGAAAGATTAAAGTTTCCTCTCTTGCAGAAACTAACGCTTTTCTTCAGCGATATTTTCGTTCAAAAGATGATCCTCCTTAAACCAAAAAGTTATAAAATTTCAATGGATTTTCTTTTGAACGGACTTAAAAAAAGATTATATTCTTCCTTAGTTGACTTCAGTTATTAAGCTAACGTTTCAGTCGTTGTGTCATTCGACCTCGTTCAGAGAATTTCAAACTGAAGACTAATCCATAGAAGTAGATTGTTCTCATTCTGATGTCAATGTCTTCGGATATCTAGTACTGCTCAATTATTTCTTGCCCTGTTTCTACCGAGTGAGTACCACCAAGCCCAAGGATTGAACTCACAATAACCACCAAACTCACAAAGCAAGTGGGCTATCGATCTAGGTTGAGTTGCTGGAATGAGGAACATTAACCACTTTTTAACCAATTGTTTGAGGCTTTAAACTAAATTTACAAGACAGTTTTCACTGTTTTGCGACTCGGTCGTCATGTTGTTCTAACATTCTCTGGCCATTCGTTGAATTCCAAAATTGGAATAAACTAGTCGGATTTAATTTTTATCTCCCTTACGTTTATTCGTAAACTTGGCGAATGTTTTTCAAACTGTCACTTTTTTTTTTTTTTTTAAATTTCCAAAGATAACCGATGCATAGCTATTTAATCGGAGAGATAAATAAAAACGAATTCTTTTTTTTTCTTCCAATCAGTTCTAGATGCATTATATTCTAAATACTGAGGTACCACCACGCTAAATTTACATAGCCGTCATCTGAGTAAATATTTGCCTCCTATGTACTTCAACATCGCCTATAAAACCCAGGCGATATTTCTTAGCCATTTTTGTAGGTAAAAAGCAGTGAAAGAATCTTCTATTCCATCAGAATCAGTATGAAGTAATTCAAAGTTCAAAACTCACAAATATATTTTGATAATCGTTAAGATGCATTTTTTAAATTATACAGAGTAATGAGATGGTATATGACTTTAGGTTATAACTACAGACGTGAAGGCAATTAAGTTATGAATTGAAAGAAGTTACAATATGATGGATGAGCTCGAAAATTTTTCAGTGTCTTAAAATATTCAATATATCTATAAAAAATAAAACTATAAGGCAAAATCCTTTTTTCTCTATTTTTAAATGTAATTCAAATGATTAAAGAAATTTATTCGATGTAAGTTAATATGAAGATTTGTTACCTCGACTTATTAAAATATGATCAAAACATCAGTATTTCTTATTGAAACCCTGCTTGTTCGATCCAAAACATTTTCAACTACCCTAGCATTAATATACAAAGAGATCAAACAAAATTTTGTTCATAATCACTTTCTAAGTATAATTCGTTTAATAATTTAATATAATCCAGTCTCTTATGAGCAAATTAAAATATGAAACAGAATCCCTATATGTCTTCAATGCTTAGCTTTTCAAAAGATCTTGTGTAACTTATCGAGAAATCCGTTTTTACCCACACTGCTTTTTGACTCAAATATCATTTCATAAGTTTAGAAATATTATTTATAAGTTTTTCCTGTCTGTTTTACTCTTCTTCCTGAAGATTGATGGATTTGTGCAGACTGGTTCATATGATATGTATATAGTTTTATTACTTAATGTTATCTTAGTGGATACTCGTGTTTGAGTAGACGCTCCGTTTACTTATTAAACCGAATATTTATTTTAGTCTACCTGTTTGAATATTCGATAAATAGATGAAAATAAATATGTTTAATAAGCGGGGCGTCTACTCATATACGATTATCCACTAAGAAATAATGTTTAATAATAATCTGTCGGATTATTAAACAAAAATCTGACCCTTTCCTCATGTGAAATCGGTCAGATTTCGACTTGAAGCAATTGGACGTCTAGCCACATTGAAGAGCTGCGACAGAGTGTCTGTGGAGGATATATATATATATATATATATATATATATATAATGAATGAGAGAGAGAGGACAAATTCTTTTACATTTATTACACAGCACTAAAAATTTTCAGGTTCGGGCGGAAGACTTCGGTGGTGGTGGGGGGGGGGGAGATAGCAATAAAAAAAATATCGTAATCCTGCCTAAATAAATGTAAACAAGTTCAAAACCCTTAAATGATTTTGCTGTATTAGTAAATGACAAACTTTTCATAAGGATATCCGAATATTTTTTTTTAAAACAGCTGGCTTCATTTGGTGAATGTTTACTGCGGCTGAAAGAAATTTATGAAGTTAATAGGTTGTCAATGTCTTAAACATCATTTATGGCAATGAAAACACGATTTCATCGCAATAAAACATTTGATTTTCTCAGGTTAACATTCCAAAACAAGCAATTTAATGATTACTTCTGCATTGTAAAGAATTTTTTCTCCCTACCTTCCCAACAATGCAAGCAAGTTTAAAACGGATGAATTAAGTATTTTCCATATAAACTAACCCTTAACGTAACCCTCTACCTCCAGTGGGGGCCCATGTACAGGGTGAAGCTTACTGTAAAAGAAAAAAAAATCATTGCGACAACTAATCAAGACAGAAGAAGCACTATTTTGTGTGTGTGTGCGTGCGTGTGCGCGTGTATGTACACTGACCTCGCACTTTCTTTCCATTCTAAATCATCTGCTTCTTTGTGAAGGACGTCCATTTCACAGAAGATGTGATGAGTTCGGTGCATCTCGTCGGTGACATTGTGCATCAAATATCTTATTACCTCGGATACGTCTTCTGAAAATTAAGAAAAAAAGAAATAAAATATCGAATGAATAGGCATTCCCCACCCCAACAAAATTTCCTGAATAAAACCACTTTTCAGAAATTAAATTACATAATTTCCGAGTTGTAAGTTAATTGCATCGCACTCCATTTGATTTTTTTGACTTTTTTTAGAGGAGTCTTATTTGACGCGATGTTTAAGTTTTAAGACAACGCGTTGCCTAATTTACCGCGTCTAAAGACGAGAGAAAAATATGTTGAGCAAAATTATTTCATTCCAGAATCAGTAACAAACCACAGCGGATTAAGATTTAAACGTTACGTTTTTAGATTTACAACTAAAGAATTTAAAATGGATTAAAAGTTTCAAATCAATGAATAAAAAAATATAAAAAAATCGAATAATGTGCGATTTGGGAATTTTTTATTGTTTTTTAATCTTTTTTCAATTTTTCTATAAAGTGAGAATTTCAGATAGGTGGGAATAATAAAATTTATAATTTTCATTTAAAAAATTGTTTTGGAATGTGCTGGATGAATGGAGCGTTAAAAGATATAACAATGATGACAATAAACGTGATGATTGGTTAAGTATTAAAAAGACAAACGATTGACTAAAAAAAAAATCTAAACTAAAGCCAACTTTGTAGATTTTATTTCACGTGTCAAAAATATAAATTTTGAACGCGACATTAGAGACTTCATAAAGGATATAGCCTACATTTTTTTCTTAATCAGACTGACGTCGTCAATCACTGACACGGTCACGTCTAAGAGTGTTTTTGGTCAATAATAACTTAAGTAGCTTGTTTTCCAAAAGCCTGTTTATTTACGGCAGCAGGAAGGGAAAATATCCAAATATCATCATAAACTGTTTTCAAAACTTCAGTTTAGACATCCAGATACCAAAGCCAAGAAAGGTTAAAACTTCCAAATTATAAATAGCTTCTTTTTTTTTAATTCACCAGCAAAGAAAATCCTTTCCATTATTACATATAGCTCGCATAACTTGTGCTGTTCGCAAAAAAGTTATTTGGTGCTTACTATACCGTATTTTCTGAAAGGTTCAAATTACTCGCTTGGTTTGTCGCTTGTTCATCGCGAGGCTTATATCCCCGGCAAATTTAACTGCTCTCGTCTTCCCATTACGCTCTTGTAAAGTTATACGGGTCGCCGGTAGAAAACTTGTAGACAAAATACCGCAATAAAACATAATCCATTTTTTTTTTTTTTTAGCCATATTGTCAATTAATGATTTTCATTCGGCTTGTTTTAACCTTTTATTGTACAATTGACTCAAAAGTTTAAATGAAGAGTGCATTGGGAGGGGGGAGATTTTTTCAAGACTATTGTGAACACAGAATACTTAAACCAATCTCTGTTGGTGCGAAGTCAGCTTGACTTTTTTAGCGTTGATTTGATGTTTAATGACAATGCTTCCTTACACTTACGAAAAGCGCAAAGGGGATTTGTTCTTCAGAGACATTTTTGACTAACGAAATTCATAGAGGATTATTTTTTTTTCTCTCTCCAAATAAAGTAATAAATGACTTACCATGTTTGTAAGGTGGTATTTCTCCAAGGTAGAGAGCAGAATCCGCGACTGGTAGGGACGCTATGAAATGAAGATATATTTACGATTATTATTGTAATCTTATTTTTAATGATGATGTGGAAACATGGCAAAAGAATACAATAAACAGCATTTCAACTCAAATATTATGACTATTTTTAAGATGCAAGAAGTGGGTGGAGATAGAATACGAAATGGCATTCATTGGAAAGGACACTAAATATAGGGGTGAAGATAAACTGCACTTCGTAAGTGCTAGTTTGGAGGCGGGGGATTATATGCATCTTTTAATATCTGCTGACTTGAAATCTTACGAGCGAAAACTCATAACAAGTACTTAAATAAAATAAGATTTCAGAAAAAAACTAGCAACAGCACTGTATTCGTTTTCAGAATTATTTAAAAAAAAAAAAAAAAAAAAGCTTCCCTGGACATTCCGTCGTTGTGCAATCGTTAGCAACCCAGTTTCAATGATTATTTATAACCGAGTACAGAGTTTGATACACACTGGGTTCCCCATACTTGTGGTCTTGAACAAAGTCTAAGCTACATAAAAGAAAGAAAATAAGCTTCTCAAGTTTACTAATTGTTATCGCTTTCTAGCACTAATGGGAGTTTCCTTCCTAACTTTTTGTTTTAGGTAGCGTGAAAAGTCAACATCTTGATTACATTGTTATTCAATAAATAAAACGTAGGGGAGTGAATAAAAAAAATTGGAGTTGACGTTTTAATTTTGATTAAAAAACTAAACTTTTATACTATTAAATCCAAACTTTCAGGAAAAACAGACATTTTTCAAATGTTTATTTTGTTTTAAAAAATGGTAAGCGGACATGAAGAAAATAAAATTTCAAATATATATTAATACAAATAAAGCAACAAAGAGGGAGAATGTATAAATTTCACCCCGACACGTAAAAAAACCTCTACACATGCACTTAATCAAACGTATTTGATAAATACTTACATGAGTATGGAATCAAATTCAGAGCCATTACCGCTGGACACGTTACCAGGACTGGAACTGTCCAGCTCCCCTCAATGCAAGGACACGCAATAATGGTAGAAGTAGTAGTAGTAGTAGTAGCAGCAATATCACATTTAAAAACAACCTCCCTTCCTTCCTTTCTTTCTTTCACCTACTTGAGGACCAAGTCCATCAGTCACTTACGGCTATTGTATTGACTATAGCTGACAAAGAGGTGGCGGAGGGGTGGGGGGAACTAGTATAAAAATTGACTGCCTTTTTTTCTATTTTTTCTTTTTAAATTAAAGCTAAAAAACAGGCATAGACTTAAATCCGAATATCTTTGATAATTTATAAGAGAAAGTGTTAACATAATCAGGGTTGCCGCAAAATTTCGACTCGATAATTTATTAAAATGCTTTATTAACGGATAATTAAAACAAAATGGATATTTTTACAGTTCTGACACTTCGACACTACCACACCAAGCGTCATTCCGTCATAAAAAAAAGAAGTAGCAAATATATTTGGCCTTTTATTTTTATAAGTCTATAAAATTAGTGGCTTTGAAATCTGAAGATCAGAAGACTCTTTGGAATCAGCCGGTCATTTGTGTGCCATGCTGGATACACGATCATGTATCTTTCGATACCTGACTGATGAGGCAGATTTTTTTCCCGCAGTAGGTTGCCATTTCTTTCTGCGGTAGACCAGTTGCCATCCAAGGAAACCCGGTTTGTCTTGCTATTTGCTTATAGCTGGGGGGGGGGGGAGAAGAGGATCCCTACCTTTCCCAAGGGTATTAACACGTAATCCGAACCGCTATCCATTACTCCACCGTGCCTCCTCTTTGGAATACGCGTTTATAAAGTTTGCTGATTTAATTTCTCAAAAGCTACATCCTTAAGCCATATTTAAAAAGAAAGGAAGTCTATTAGTATTATATCAGAAAAAGAAGAGGAATAACTTTCGAGTAATATGGTGAAGGTAATGGTAATATTAGCCGTTTCCCTACAAGGAAATATTTGAAATGCATTGACCGAGCAACCAATTCTGCTTTTGGTTGAAATTTATAAAATCTTTCCCTTCAACCAATTTTCCTGGAAAACAGGTTTCTCAAGTCCAGCATTTATGAGGGTCTCGTTCCTAACTTTTTATTTTGATTATGACATTATTTTCTCTTCGAATTACATTTTCGTTGTTGCTGCTGTTGGTAGTCCTCGATTGATGTGGTTTCTGTTATTTGGTACAGGTCTCTGTTTGTGAATTTGTGGCATTAGTCCACAATGTTCAAAGAAGGGTGATCTTTACCAAGATCCTTCAATCGCTCAAAGACTTTTTCACCATTGACCTTAGGAAGCGGTTGTATACAGCTAGCAGTTTAGATATTTCTGGTTGGATATAATTCTTTCCAATTTGCTGCTGGCATTATTATAAAATGATTTGCTCGAAAGATTTATTTTGGTTGTCATCAGCCTCTTTCAAATGATTCTCGTAACTGGTACCATTTTCGACTTTCAAACCGGACCCTTTATTCAATCTACAGAGCTAGACTGTTCTCATTCTGCTATCCATGCTAAAGAATGTCTTGTATTAGTTTATTCTATCTACTTAATCCGTCTTTCTAATACTTAATGTCCGAGACGCTATAACAACCAAGATGAGGATATTAGTAGAGCCAGATCAAGCCCAAAATGGAGTGTTGCTGATATATCTGTGCTGGAGGTGCCCAGTACCCACTTATCTGGCTTGATAAGAGTTCAAAAGCGTTTACGGAGACTTGTGGATGATGAATTATTTTCTAACCTACACCTTTTTTCTCGCATTCGAAACTCTCGAGCTTCTCCTGCTGTATCGCTATTTCCATGGCATGTGCTCTGACAGGCTACATTCCTAGGTCTTATCACCGCTTACCTTTATAACTAGGACCCGCCATGCCACGTAGACAAGTATTAATCATTCCCTTCGTATTCCATTAGTAACGAGTAAGTTCCACTCAAGAATTGCTGTTTTGTAGAACAGTCTCCCGGCGGGATGTTTTCTCAATCACGACAATACTAATCTCTTCAAATCTAGGGTCAACCGTTATCTTTTCTGCATAACCCCATCAACTTCACTTACCCCCTATTACGCTCATACACAACACCACACAGTAACCACCTACATTGTATAGGGTCAACATTAGTATTAAAAAGCGTATAATAATACATATTTCAGAATCTCAAAGATTCAGACAAAAATTTCCAGTAAACGTCAGATTCTATTCTGTACAACAAAATAAAAAGCAATGGTTGACGACGCATACGAGATTGCTTTCTGAAGCCTCTTTCAAGATGAAATGCCAAGTTTAATAAATTCATATTTAACAAAGATTTTTTCCTAATTACCATATATACACGTGTATAAGCCGATATCGTGTATACTGCGACCTCTGAACAATTTTGCCCAAATTTTTTCGCCTCCAGAAAAAAAATACCTGTGTATAGTGCAACCGGTCACCGAAAATGCATGATTTTAAACCTCTTTCTTAAAAATTACCTGTGTATAATGCGATCCCTATTTTTTGCGTAAAGAACTGATCCTAAAAATCTTTCTATACTTGAGTATACAGGGTAAAGTATTTGAAAAATTGATTTTGTTCGGACTGTTGTCCTCATCTTTATTGCCATATTCACGATGCCTCAAGGACACATGACCCAGTGTATAAAAGCGTTGGTTGGATCCAGTGATATAACCCAAGGAGCTACTGCAGTGGTGAACAAAAAAAAAAAAAAAAACTTGGAGTATTGAGTTAAAGGGAGATAACTGAGGCACCCGGAAGAGGCACGTCACGTGGAACTAGAGTAATCTATCCTGGTGGACGAAATAAAGGGTTCAGTTCGAAATTCCATCACCTGAAGAAGGCTGACGCGTTCAACGGCCGAAACGTCGTGAATATGGTAATAAAGATGAGGACAACAGTCCAAACAATGTAAATAAAAATTCATTTATTAGCTAAATTCTAAACATTTAGCTATCTGTAAATTAAAGTGGGCTGTGGTGATAATTTCGCTACTTCTACCGTTCGATTTATAACGTTATCAGTTTGCATCATCAGAGCTGTTTCGACTTGAAGGCACACCGTAAATTAGTGTGACTTCTCATGTTCTATATAGCTGCTCGTTTCTGAGAATTCCTATCTGTTCAGGCGCATTAGTGATACTTCAGCACCCATAGAGTCAACCTGTGGTTTATACAGAAACTACTGACCCACTAAGGCCACATACGATTTTAAATTCAGATCTCGAAAAGGACCTCCAATCTGTGGTAAACTTTAATGCCTCTAAAACGAAACTGCTCTCCTTTACCCACCACAGAGATACCTTCCTGCCTCCCATCAGAATGACTGATTCCAAACTCCCTGAGAGCGGCCACCCTTTCACTGTCAAAACGGTTAAATGTAACCGTTTCTTCTCAAACAGCTTCTTCTCCCGCACTTCCCATCTGTGGAACTCCCTTCCCCTTACTTGCTTCCTCGATGATTATAATCTTCAAATATTCAAGTGTAATTTCAATCGAAATCTGACACCCTGAGCTTGTTCCCCTTCCTTTTCTGTATCCTTTTCTCAAACATGTCTCTTTACCCTTGTTTTCAATCCTCTGTAATCCTTTGCGTGCTAGTGGCACTCCCGCCTTGCTTGGGGTGAATTGCCTTGAAAGAAAAAAATGTGTTCGTCTCCTATACTAATACCAAACACGACTAGACTGTCCAGTTTGTCTTGTTATTTAACCTGTTGATGATGGGTGGGTGGGTGGTTAGGAGAAGATGGATTTGTACATTTCCCAAGGTTATTTGTGCGAGAGTGAATGTGAAAATCTCGTGAGAAACTCTAACTGGGCTCGGCGTTCCAAGCTTCTAACCATTGCAACACCCACGCATCCTACATTATCAGTATTTCTTAAAAAGAAAAAAAAATATTGATACGTAATCGTTATTTCTTAATCTTAGCTCGGACTGACCCACAGCCACAACTGTTGCGCCCTCGAAGACCAACTGACTGCTCCACAGCAAGGAGATCAGTATTAACATATTTTC